AAGTACATAAACCATTTAAATTAATTAAGGGCTTATTTCCAATGGATGCCATATCAATTGATTATGTAAGTATCTCAGCTATGTCTCTGCCACGATTGTGATCTGGCTATGAGAAAATGTAGTTTAGTAGACAGTGGATTCTAGGTATTTGTTCAGTCAGCTGGTGCATCATGTACTTACTACAAGATCCCAAAGACTTGGTCTTGTCTGTCTGCTGTGTCCATTCCTTTCCTTTTGCAAGAAGGAGATAATCTTTTTGAATGACTGTATGCACCTTTGACCTGCATTCACAACTTTCAGTGACATGATTAGGAGCCCTGGCCGTGCGACGTGCGTCTTCAACACGACTTCAGCACTGAGAACGTTTCTACGCTTTGGTTTTAGCAGCCGGTGGTCCCACCTGAGAACTCCCCTGATGCCAGTGGACGTCATGCATATAGAACAGAGACAACAGAAGCCCCACTCTTCCAGCTCCTCTGGAGAATAATTACATGAGTTTGATACAGAAATCAGCCAGTCAGTTAATTCCTTGTGGTTTTTTTTAGGTTGGGTGGTGTATAGTAGGCATACTGGGTAATCCCAGTAGGAAAAGTCTCACTGATTTTCTGTCTTGCAGGTGGTTCCTGGATAAGAACTGAGCATACTTTTACTAGATAGGGGAGGTGAAAAATGCTTATCATAAAATGATGATTTATAGTTATAAAGCAAGTAATTTTTTTTTTCTTTATTCCCAGGTGGTCACTGAGGTCACTGAGACCATTAGCACAGACTTCACAGGTCCTAAAACTACCACCACCTATACTGTTGAGCGTGAAAAACCTTCTGTTGAGGATGCAGCACCTCCAGTCAGAAAGAAGACAATACGGACAAAAGTGGACCCATCTAAGTTTTTGACGCCTTATCTGCAACATAGTAATAAAATGAAGGACCTATTCAGTGAGGTAAGTTGTCCCATGTCTTTTATTTCTTGAGGAACACCAACTTTAAAAATATTTAATAGGTATTATTGCAAACTTTCATACTACTATTTTGTCTCCTGTACTTCATTTCATGATGTGTATTAGTGTTATTTGTTTCTTTGAATTAGCCAGTCTCTTGCCCATTTCCTGCTTAAGTGCATTAGGTAATCGTTAGGCACAAAAAGTGGCTCGAGACAAATGGCTGAAGACTGTCAGAGATGTCAGTTAATAGGACTCCTGCACTATCATCTGACTTGGATATCCGAGTGAAGGAAGATAACAGGGACTAATGTCTATTGAATAGCAAACCTCAGTATTTTTTATAATAGTACATTTCTCTATCCTTCTATATATATCCAAGAAAAATCCTTGTGCACAGTATATAGGAGCAAGCACCAACCTAAATTCCTGGTACGGGATACCAAAGTCCAGTAGACCAATACTGTAGGTTGTTGTAAAAAGTGGAAAATGACTGCTCTGCACAGATGTAGATGGTATCAGATCCCTTTTCCTAAATGTTAATGTATATTACCTACCAGTGTTCACTGTTAAAGGATTATGTGAGATCATAGGTCTAGGACTGCTACCCTCACCCACATATTTTCCTTATCTTTGGTCACTGAAACAAATGACTGTAAATTTATCAATACTAAGCGCCTAAGGAGAATATAATCAATTAGAGGTGATCTAAACCAGGCTAAAGTTAGAAATGGATTTTTTCTATTGTGTCAGATGGAAGAAATCAGTTGGCTAAAATGAGCATAACTTGGCAAATGTAATTGAGTAATGCTAGTTTGTATTATTGAATAATCTGCCCCAAATTCCTATACTAACCAGTTAAGTAAATCAATAATTGCTACATACATTTCTGCCAGAGCTTTAGGATATGTATTAATTATTTTTGTCATTATTTTCTTTCAGAACAAGTACAAAGAAAAATTTAGAAAAGAAAAAGGAAAGCCATATGCTTCCACAATTGATACCCCAGAAATTCGAAGAATCAAGAAAGTGCAAGACCAGCTCAGTGAGGTAGGTAACAATTGTCATAAGAAAAAAATATTTATTGAGTGGTAAAGGAGCAAATTAAGTCACAATTTTAAATGTTAGATAAGAAGTGATAATTTTTTGATTATATTGTGATAAGGCAATCTGAACATTTAGCAGAAACTTTATCAGATTACAAGAATGAGGAATACAGAGTATATGACAAATTTGAGTTCTATGATGTAGGTTTGAATTTAGGCCTTTCAGGAAGGGAGGTGTGATGGTTCCTTTCTAGCTGAATAATAGCCCTGCTTCATTGTTCCTAAAGAGGTTTGAAAATTTCTGATCAGAAGTTACAGGCACGGGAGATGATGGTGATGCCCATATCATTGAATTTGAAGATTCCACGCATGATGTCCTGCAGTCATTGTAAATGATATGCCTGATGAATTTTTGTTGAGGTTAAGTTGTGTGCTGGGTAAATAACCCTAGAATTTTGTTTTTAAAATGTGTTTAAACATTTTTGTTTTCATAAAGCAACTGAAAGTCAGTTTCCTAAAGAGATACTGGAAAAATGATGCTTAGATGCTCCAAGTGTTGCAAAATGAACTTCTGTACATCTTGTCACTTACTATGGGATTGTTCAAGATGTGTTGTCCCCTCTGCGTGAATCCCACTCTTAGTGATCTGCCGTTGAAAGCTAGACCAAGTACAGTTGCCCCACTGATGCAGTGCCTCTAGTTCTGGAAGCTAGCTCATCCTCCCGTCTTTCTTTTAAGGAACGCTAGTCTACCTTTCAACAATACACCTCACAGTTTGGGAAACTGAAATCCACCTGGAAAGGCTTCTTAATTCTTCATACAGTAAATAGGGAGAGTTGAGTCCCTAGGAATGGGAACCCCTGACGTTGAAAGGGTAGTCACCTAACCTAACCGGTGTTCAGGAGAAGAGTGTGCATTAAATTCTACTCCACTCCTGACCTAGGATATATTGAGGAATGTGATGCAGTAATCCATGTGTTAATGCTGACTGAGCCTGCTGTCAAGCTGGGAGTGGTATAACTGCACTAGGATGATTTTTGTGCCCAAGCTGCCGGTTTGCCATGGTAATGTGGCTCTATTGTCTTTGGCACTACAGCTAGTGTTTACATGGTAATGGACTGTGAAATTGAGATATACTGCATAGCATGGGGATCCCTCTATCTCATTATACAGGGTGGAAGTACTCTTAGAAAGAACTGTGTGGTAACTTAAGGGCACTACCTCTAACTTGGATTTACACATCTTGAAACTAACTGTCTCAAAGCTGCATTTCTTTCTCAGTTAATTCACAAAATCCATTTGTTTCCATAGGCTTCATTTCTAAGGAACCACTAGTCCTAAATCTTTATTGAATTCAGATTTTGGGTGTTTACAGTATTGAGTATAAAAATGTCAATATTCTGCTTTTAAAAAAAGCTGTCAGTTTTTGCTGTAAGCATAAATGTGTTTTGTTGTGCATTGATCTAGGTTAAATACCGCATGGCTGGTGAAGTTGCCAGAACTATTTGCCACGTTGATGAAAAGGCCAAGGATATAGAACATGCAAAGAAGGTGTCACAGCAAGTGAGCAAGGTGAGCGAGTTCTGACTTTCTGGAAGGGTTGTGAACACTAGTGGATCATGAGATTACTGATATGAATAAAGTTTTGAGCTCAGGGCACTAAAGCAATGTTTATAGAACAGTTTAGAAGCACAGGGAGAGGTAGCAGAGAAGTTGATAAGGCAAGTATAAGTATAATCTTAAATGTTTCCAACTGGTGTCTTCAAATGTCACTGGTTTGAGACTTTCACTTTGAAAAAATCTCTAGAGCAGGTAGTTTATTCACAAATGTAAATATTTTTCTAATATAGAGTAACCAATGTGCTGATCTTTGCTTTCAGGTGTTATATAAACAGAACTGGGAGGAGAATAAGGACAAGTACCTGCTTCCCCCTGATGCTCCAGAGCTTGTGAATGCAATAAAAAACACAGCAATGTTCAGTAAGGTAAGCAAAAAAAATCACAGGTCTAGGAAGCTGAAGTGCAAGAAGCATTCCAAGTTAGAGATTAATTCATAATGAGTATCCTGGCATTTTTCTGTTTTTAAGAAACTGTATACCGAAGACTGGGAAGGAGACAAAACATTATTCTATCCATACAATGACAGTCCAGAGCTCAGAAGGGTGGCACAGGCTCAAAAGACTCTGAGTGATGTAAGTATCAAAGCCTGATTGACAGTTGGGTCACTGTTACAGTGTAACTTGATAGTCTTTGTGGTGGACTTTGACTAGATAGAAAAACTTCATAACGGAACAGAAAATGAAAATGCCTAGGTGTGCACTGATAGCTCTGATAGTAGTGCTACTTCAGTAGGAAAGTATGTACTCTATATTAGAATATAAATCTGTTGGCAATTTGATGCTGGATTATGAATGAATGAAATAATTAATTTATTAAAGTTCTTCTGAGGTAATCAGTAAGAAGACCTCAAGTATCTCTCAAAATGTGTGGCGAACCTCTCAGGGTTGGCTGTAGGCCCAGTTCACTGTTGTGGGTCTACAAATCTGTCTCTCTAAAACAGTGATAAGAAAAGTGAAGAATTCATGAGGCTTTGTGATTTGCTGATACTTAGATAAGTAGAACTCTTCAACCGAGGATTTCAGGTCTCACTTAAAGGTTTCGGGGAATTTTGCAGATGTCCAGAAGTTCACTAGTCCATGTTTATCAGGAGCAATAGAGTAATATACTTAAACTGTCCCAGGGAACTGATTCTTTTTCACTGTCTCTTATCAAGACACTTCTCAGTAGTCCTCCATAATACATTGACAGAATGAGTGTATGCTGCAGTAGCTGTGGCCAGAACTACTTTTGTTAATGGTGGTGGTAGCACAGTTAAGAGTAAATGTTCTGATGCTTAGTTGGTAGTTACTGTTAATGTTTACTTCTTTCATATTTTCAGATTGTCTACAAAAAAGGACATGATGAACGAAAATCTAAATATACTTCTCTGCCAGATCCACCTGATGTGGTACAAGCCAAGAAAGTGACAAGGCAGCTGAGTGATGTGAGTAGAATGCAGTGCTCTTCTTTCTGTAGAGACCTCACTTTTGGAGTTGGAGAGCCAAAAAGGTACCTAAAGAAAAGGAGAGTAAAAAAACCAGACCAGAGCTCATATGAAGACCCCTTTGATTTTCAGTGGCGGAAGTCAGTTCCTTTCTTCCTCAAGTGTCTTGGAGAAAATCCTGCCCAGTCTCGGGTGAAAGGCAAAACTTTATTCTTGTCAGTGAATTTAGTTTTCACAAAACATTTCTGCTTCTACCATACACACATTACTTCCTATTCTCCCTCTTTTTTTTTGCTTCCTGCTTTACACTTTCTGTGTTTACAGGAGAAAATAGTAAACAACATTCATTTTGCTGTTCTCTTAAATGTAAACAATGACATGTAAATGTATGTCTGATTTTGGAGTGAGTTACTTGCTTACAAGGAATAACCCCATTTTGCTGAAAAGCTGCCTAGGTCAGCTGCACAGAATACATTCTAAATGTTCATTTCAGTGTCAAACCATTGGACACGTACATATCCCAAGCATTAAGTTCATGGATACTAATCAGTGGAAATGTCTGGCAACTTAGATAACTGTTTCCTGATTTGCACACTGAATTAACAAGTAACATTCAATATTAAGTTCCATAACTGTGTGGCATGATTAACCAAGACTCTGGCACCAGTCCTTGTCAATGAATTTTAGGTATACTTCGAATAAAACACAGCTGAGGAATGCAGGAGGTGAAGTGAAATACAGGAAGACCAACTTTTGCTGAAGAAACTGGAACTAAGTTGCACAATCTTGTAAGGCAGAAGTAGGATTTTAACTCAGTTCAGAATTTAGCTATTATGAAGAGGACATGCATGATTTTATTGCTGGGTATTGAAAATTATCAGCTGTTTAAGATTAGAGAGTTACAGTATTCACTTATGGTTCCAAAACCAGTAAGAAAATACTGTAGTGAACCTGTTTGGAAGGTGAAAGAAGGTAGTATTTCATTTAGAGAAAATTTCTTTAATCTTATTCTTCCATAGTTTAAAAGCTAAATTGTCATCAAGAAAATTTTTAGACATGTAAAAAGCAAGATCAGTATCATAATTCTTTGAAATGAATAAAATAGTAAGCTATATAGGTATCTCTAAAACAATAAAATGTAGAATTTTTTAAGGTTATTTTTGGCATATATGTTCTTTATCAAAGTGGTAACAATTAAAAAGGCATTGGAGAAGTATTTTTTGTGATAAGCAGCTGTGGCTGAAAATGCATTTGGAACACTGAGTCAAAACTCAGGAAGATGTTTTGTTATTAGACAGAAAGGAACTGTCTGTTTGAACAGTTGATACTTGATTTCCATGTGCTTGAATATAGTGTAATAGAAATCACATATACCAGGCAATCCATATATTAAAAGGGTTTGCTTATAACAAGTTTCAGCAGCAATAACAATAATTCTGGCTTAAGGGCAATATTATGTCCCAGTATTATGTGACCAGTGAGAAAAAGGAACTAAAGGAATACGTTAGTGATGTGTCATAGAGAGAATTTCTTATGAATAACTGTCTTCTAGAAGGACTTAGTTTACCTATTTATCCTTTTTTTTTGGTCAGGGAAGGTACTAAGAGAATGCTAACTGAATACTGAAGTGCTTAGGCCATATCATATTTAAGGTGTTTTTCACAATAACTGATAAAGTGGTTGTAAGGCAGATGTAAAATGTGAAGTCTTTAAAAAGAAGACTTTTAAAACCAAATCTGTCAAGTGAAAATTGAGCTGTATCTTGGGGATTAAATTTCATTTTTTGATTTCGTTATAGATTATTTACCACGAGGACTATAAAAACAAGATCAAAGGCAAGTGGAGTCAAACTCCGTGCTATGATGTTGCAATTGCAAAAATGAATGCAGAAAATATAAGTATGGTAAGTGAATTCCTCAGAAAATCTTGAAATGAACAGCTTTATCCTCTGTTTATGCTAACATGGAAAATACTGATTAATTTTGCCTCCTCCATTTGTGGTATTTCTTTTCCCCTAAATAAGCTACTTTGTGGATGGCTGATTTATAATGTAAGTGCATATGATACATTGTTATCTGTTGCTCTTTGTTCCTAACAGAGAAAATACCAGGAAGACTTTGAAAACATGAAAGACCAAATCTACTTTATGCAGACTGAAACTCCAGAATATGAAGCTAATAAGCGAGTTTCAAATAATGTCAGTAAGGTACGTTATGTGTGCTCCCATTTGTTTAGCCTGAGTATAGTTCTGAAGTCAGGCCAGTTTGTGCTGAAACTGTTTTGTCAAGTGTCAAAAATATTTTCTTATATGCAAAAGATGTATTCTTGTATGCATTCCACTACGAAGCTTATAACAACTCCTAGCCGTGCTTATGATCTTCCACGATAGTACCCATGAAGTGGAATTTTCTTTCAGTGAAGTAGAATTTGCTTCATTGTTCGTTCTGATTATGTTATGTGCCTGATTTTTAGTTGGAACAAATCAATACTGTTAACCAAGACCAACTTAAGCTAGCTGAATTTGGCTCAGTATTTTCATATTTATTCATTCTCGCTCAGCGTATCCCAGTGATGTTGTGCTGGCCCATCTTTTGTTTGGCTTCTGCATTTTCTGCAATAGTATATGCATCAGCAAAGACAATCTTATGTCATTAATTGTAAGAATGTGACTATTCTGAGATGTCAACTGATATTTGAAAATTTACAATGTTTGGAGAGGGGCTTAGAGGTGGGGACATCTACTAAATAGCTCTCACTTATCTTCTGACCCTGCCTCCCATCTCGTCATCCATGCACTCCTGTGATCTGAGGCTTTCATGGTCCTTTGCCATCATGAATCATAAGTTAAAAACCAGGAAATTTTCCTGAAAAGTTCAAGATGGTATAGGTTAATGAGTGTTTGGCTTTTAATACTGATTTTAATACTGATTTTTACAACATCACCCTTTTTTATTTTTTTTAAAGACAAAATACAGAGCAGACTATGAAAAGAACAAAGCTATTGCAGATTATAATGTGCTTCCTGCTACAGAGAACCCATTGCTGAGGCAATTAAAAGCTGCAGGAGATGTGCTGAGTGATGTAAGTATTATCAAAGTGCAGCTGGTGATTTTCAGTCATGTACAATAAACCAAACTCATCATTTCTTCACAAGGCTTCTCCTTCGGATCTCTTAGTATTTTTAGTTTTATAGACTGATATTTGTCATGAGATACCACCAACGAGAACAGTATAGATAAGGAGTCATTGCTCCACAGCAGAGTGTAACAATAGCTGTGGCATGTTATGAGGGTAGTTAATTACTGTATAGTTCATTTAGATCCCTGTGGAAAATGGATCACAAGATGACAGTTCTTCCCTTACTGTTTTAAGGAACTTCAGCTGATGCCGATAATGATAGAGTATGTGGTACTTTTGCATATTCATATATATTGTATTCTGGTTACTCACTGTAATGGCTTTCTTGATTTCTCTCTTCTTGCTGTTTTCATCTATATGAAAGAGATTGCATATTTCTCAGTGTCAGAAGTTCAAAAACCATTAGTCAGACATTTCTGTCTTCCCTTACAAACCTAAGAGCCACTAAAAAAAGTTTTTTTAAAAAATCATTGGGGAAAAAGTGCCATCTGTTTTTCAGTCTTCTGGGAAAGTTTTTCTTTGCAATCATTTCACAGTTTTACTCTTGTCATTTTTAATGTGTTGTGAGTGAGTTGCTGTGAAATCTACTGCATTATCCAACATTGTTTTCTTTTGCAGAAATTATACAAAGAAGCCTATGAACGATCAAAAGGAAACAGCATGAATTACTGTGACACACCAAAGTTCCAGACTGATACTGTTCTGAAGAATTTTAGTGATGTATGTATTTGATTTATCTTACATCATTCAGTACTGACACTCTTGATTACTTTTGTTTATCAACTTGTGATTATTTTTCTAGGTAAAATATAAAGATGCATATCAAAAGAATATTTTAGGACACTATTTGGGCAGCTTTGAGGATCCACATTATACACACTGCATGGAAGTTGAAGCTATGAAGAGTGATGTAAGTGTGGTAATCATTCTGTTTTCACCATCATACTTCAATTTCAGAGAAAGCTCAATTATGGTTTCTTACTGAATGTTGATTTTATTCCTAGAAAAATTACAAAGCAGATTATGAGGAGGAAAAGACAAAATGCTACTTCCCTCAGACAATAACTCAGGAGTACGAAGCTATTAAGAAGTTAGAGCAGTGTAAAGATGTAAGTACAGGACAGGAGTGGTTATCAAGTAGCCAATTACATGCAGAGTATCTGCTTCTGAGGCACGTAGAAATTTACAGTGATTCCTGTTAACTTCAATGATTCTGAATTTGGCCTTATTAGCATATGTGACTTTTAAACACCATATTCATCTGTATTTTAGAGCCTTTTGTGACATCTAGTGATCAAGACAGATATAGCACAATCTTTTTTTTAACAAGTAAAAACATAAAATTAGAGGAGTAGTACCAAAATAAAGAATGAACCTCAGGCATTTACCTGCTTAAGCCATTAATTTTTACATTAATCCTCTAAAAGTACTTTAGTTACTTTATTAATACTGATTATATTTACTTCATGAATACTTGGGAAATACTTCAAATATATATTTGTATATAATATACTAAAATGTATATAATATAATGTGTATAATATTTATAATGTATACTAGACTTTTTAATATGTATATACCTATTCAATATATTTTACATTCTTTAAAAATACTTCTGAAAACTTATTTGCTCTCTGATTATGTTAAAAAGTAACATTGTGCATGACAGTACCTATCTATATGCATGCCATACCTGCTAGCTATCCCAAGTAATGCTACATTGCTATGTCTTATAAAATAGTTTTGCTTATATGCGTTTTCTGCAAATATATTTCTTATCTTCCTTCAGCACACCTACAAAAAGCATCCTGATCAAACCAAATTTACTCAAGTGACTGACTCTCCAGTACAGAAGCAAGCAGAGATCAATAGCAAACAGCTGAGTGATGTAAGTAAACTTAGAAAACATGTTGCTACACTCTGACATTATCAATTTCTGCACTTTGGCCACCTTCACTTTATCATCCAGTTTTAAGAGAACTCCTGAAATGAATGCGTAGGTGAATGTGTGTGCATATACACACACACAAGCACAAAAACATTTGTATTCGCAGTTCTGTTCCAGTGGAAGATCACCTGGAAATCAAATTTTTTTAGTTTTTCAATTGGCTGTTCATGTCAATTTTTAGTGTGTATGTATGTAGTTTTGTTTATGTCCATCATTCTTAATGTATTCTTCGCACCAGTTAAGTCAATGGGGTTTATACCATTCACTTGGCAAGGACTAGGATTTCATCTCTGTCTGTCTTTGTGAGTGAGGTAACATGAGATCTTTTAAGTTGTGTCACTCAGCATTATTAAGCATTTACAATCTATAAACATTGGGCTGCTAAATTTCTTTCTTTATTTTTCTTTGCAGATAACGTATAAATCCAAAGGTGAAGAAATTATTCACAAGTACCACCTCCCTCCAGATGTTCCCCAGTTTATACAGGCTAAAGTTAATGCCTACAATATTAGTGATGTACGTATATTTTGAATCCAGAGCTCTTGATTCAACTTACAATAGGAAGTTTCTGTTAGCTAGAAACTGTTCATTCAAAATTAATCTTTTCTTCTAGAACTATTACAAAATGGGATTGGAAGAATTAAAATCAAGGGGATATGATCTAAAAAGTGATGCTATTCCTATCCGAGCTGCCAAGGCTGCTAGGCAGGCTGCCAGTGATGTAAGTACACCCTTCCTAAAGGAACTGTTTAATTCAAAAGAGTTTACTTAAACAATGTTTGCAATTATGTTTATTAAGGATATCTGAAGGATAACTTCTTTATTGCCTTTTTTGAGCATGTTATTGGATGTATTTAATACAGTTATATTTTTGTTGGTGTTTCATTGCTTCACTAATGTATTTGTATAATTACATTTAGAAAAGGCCATTTCATTATGTCATTCTCTGTGAATAAATAAGCTATCTTGCACTCCAGTATGGTTAAGGAAAATCATGAGTAGGACAGTAGTGGCAGCTGCATGAGCAATGGACCCCTGAATTCTCTCTGTCCTTAATTATAGGCCTGATCATAAATGAGATGAAAGACTCTAGGACATCACTGGCTTTTGGGTAGATTCTTGGGGATGGCCTCGCGGAAGTACCTTAGTATTTTAAGACTCCTCTCCCTCTTATGATCAGTACAAGTGAGATAATACTTCTTTGAAAGCTGACTGACTGATTTGTGCAGCGGTGAATTGTAGAGAGATACATGTCTGGTTTTATTAAGATGCATGGTCACTGACTTAAATGTGAGGGATACTCTTTGTGGAAAACAAAGGGTAGCCTTTGCTTTTAATTTACTTATTACTAAGTTACTACACTTCAGATTATATTCTCCATGTTCTATTATATTCTAACAGGTTGACTATAAAAAAGCCTATGAACTTGCCAAGGGTAAACTCATTGGCTTCAAGAGCCTCCAAGATGATCCCAAACTCGTTCATTATGTGAAGGTAGGCAAAATGCAGTCTGAGCGAGAGTACAAGAAAGATTATGAAAAAACAAAAACTAAGTACAACGTTCCACTGGATATGGTCAATGTGGTCGGTGCCAAGAAGGCTCAAGAGATTGCCAGCAATGCTAATTATAAGAACCTCCTACACCACTATACTTATTTACCAGATGCAATGAATGTGGAGCTGACCAAAAATATGATGGAGATTCAGAGTGATGTAAGTAAAACCACATGTGAACAGAATTTTTTTTACATGCGTCAAGCGAAAACTGTAAAGACTCAGGAGAGATCCCTGAGTTGTTTTTTCTAATTCCTAACTTCTAAAACATTGTTTTCACTCCTTTATTAGAATGCGTACAAAGCAGATTATAATAACTGGATGAAAGGCATTGGTTGGATCCCCATTGGCTCCCTAGAAGTAGAAAAGGCTAAAAAAGCTGGAGATGCCTTGAATGAAAAGAAATATCGTCAGCATCCAGACACCATTAAATTTACAAGTGTGGTGGACTCTCCAGTAATGGTCCAAGCCAAACAGAATTCAGTTCAACTCAATGATGTAAGTAGAGAAAGAAATGGGTGTTATAGTACAGTAGAGATGTATCTGCTGAAGAGCTGAGCATTGTCTTTAAAATTTTCTGAAGTACTATTAGCCTGAAAGTGTTTCTCTGTGTTGTCATTGTTTTGTGCTCTGATTTTGCCTGAGTAATTTCCTGATATGTCTGCAAAGCTGTATGGAAATCATGTGGCTCTTCCAGTTCACATCAGCTGATTCTGTCCATTTATATTTTAAGTATATTTGAAATGCATTTGATAGAAGAAATGTGAAATTTTCAAGTTGTTTATTGACGTTTTACCACCTACAATGATGAATGAATTACAGAATGTTTGATGAATCACAATATGTCCATCATCACAAACCAGCAAGCTTTGTTTTATGTTACACTCTCCTACCATCCCTTATTATCCCACTCTTTCAGAAATGGGGTTTTATGCTCATGAAAGGGCTTAATTTTACTGAGTAAAGACTGCATAGAGCTTTTAGGGTATGTTCCTTCTATCAATAAAATCAACAATTCTGTATGAAAAGTGCAGCCTTGATCTTTATGAGATAGGTGGCAATGTACATTTATTTGCAAAATCAAACATAAACCCTCAGTTAATTTACAGTGAGCTGGGGCTAGCTATACAGGGAAAGAAGGACTTATTTCGGTATCATATATTTTACAGAAACTATACAGATCTTCTGGAGAGGAAGTTAAACATAAATATACTCTTACCCCAGATGTCCCACAGTTTATCCAAGCTAGATACAATGCAGCTAACGTCAGTGATGTAAGTAACTTCTTTACATGTTTTACATATTGTTAACAAATTTTTGAGTAATATGTTACAGATGCGCTCATATTGCAGATTCCTGTCACTGATACGCAGTTCTATATAATCAACTTGTATCACTGTAATTTTTTGTTCTTGGTGTCATTTGAATTTCCAACCAGATGCCATTTAGTCATGTAATCATTCAAGTAATTTAATTAATAGATAAATCTGTTCTCATAAATGAAGACTGATAGTTGTATATGATCCCCACCGCATCTACTTCTAAAGAAAAGAATTGCCTGGAGTAGCTTAGGAGTAGCTTTGACTTGCACATAGTTCATGTGATTACTAGGTTCTCTAGAATAATACGGATTTTCTTTTTTAGGCATATTATAAACAAGGCTACCATGATCTAATAGCTAAAGGGAACAATGTGTCACTTGATGCTATTCCAATTACTCTAGCCAAGGCTTCAAGAAACATTGCTAGTGATGTAAGTATCTATTCCGGGTATACTTTTCTTAGGCATTTAGTAAAAAAGTTGTCCATTACAGGCCATATGGTAGACCTCATATGTTGCACAAGTCTCACTAGAGTCAGTATTATGAGAAAGAGATTCTTAGTCTTTCCCAAAGGCTTAGTTTGTGTAGAACTTATTTTATGCTCATCTTGTTTGCTTTAGATAGGCAAATGCTACTGCACTGTGTTTCTTAACCCACTTTTCACGGGAGAAATGAAATCAGTAGTTCTTGCAATCACTCTGTGACAAATTTCCAGAAAATACGCTACATTAGCACCTATTTACAGACCACAAGACAATATGTGCTAAGGGTGCTTTTGGTTGTACAGTGGAGTATGGCTTATACATGAATCAGAAGGCCTTGTAGTGCAAATCGCATAAAGTGGGATATGTTTCAGTGGTTTCATATAACTAGAGGAAGCTGTCCAGTCATATTCCATTTGTTTGCTATTGCTTTCAAACAACCGAGAAGGATTGTCTCAATTGTTCTGATATTTTTCATACACCTTTCAACACAGGGATGCTTAGGAAATGTTTTCCCTTCTTTACAAGAAGAGCTAATGTTGAGAAATCTTACTGTGGTGTGTGTAACCTGTTGTGTACAGGCCTAGATGGTGGTGCAAGAAAAGCTAATGTAGGTACAGTCGCTGGGTGTGCCATTTAGGAGAGTTTATCTTTCTGGACTGCTTGCAGCTGCTTTTTCCAATGAAAGTCATGAGAGCTTTTCTTTTCTTTTCTTTTGCATTAGTGTAGACATCAATAGCCATGCCACAGTACATTTGATCTCTTCCCTCTGTTTCTAGTATAAATATAAAGAAGCATATGAAAAGGCTAAAGGGAAACAGGTTGGTTTCAGAAGCCTGCAAGATGACCCTAAGCTTGTCCACTACATGAATGTAGCAAAGATTCAGTCTGAGCGCGAGTACAAGAAAGACTATGAGAAGACCAAGACTAACTATCATACACCTCCTGACATGTACAGTATCCAGGCTGCTAAACAGTCTCAGGATGTAGCTTCTAATGCCCACTACAAAAATCTGATCCATCACTACACGTACCTGCCAGATGCCATGGATGTTGAGCTTGCAAAGAACATGATGCAAATTCAGAGTGATGTAAGTATTTCAGTGATTACAATTTCATTGATGTTTTCCTGCACACTGTGAAAACTAAAATACGAGTTTATATTCAATGAAAGTTGCTATTACTGTGTAGGAATTGTCTGTTTTTCTTATGTCTTGGGGAAGACAGAAGTTTTATCAGCTGGTGGTGGCATTTAGAAATACCAAATTCCAGCTGAGTTCTACTTAACAGGATTTTGATGTTGGCATATCAGTGGAGATCAGAGTTTTGAATATTGAATTCAAATGAACTTTTTTTTCACATTTTCTCAGAAAACTATTTTTCAACTAACATAATTTTGTTTTATTCTTTAAGACTTCTTTTAAGTTGTCTTGCTTTGTCTTCCCACGAGATAGATATGATAGTATGGTTGGACTATTATTAACTATTTAGGATGAAGCAGTGGACAAAATGTAACTATTGATATTATTAGAAATACATTCTGGAGATCTCTAGCATAGGAGATCTCTCTTAGGACCTTCTCGGTCCTTCTTGCAGATACAGAGTTTCAAATGGTTGACTGAGCATACATGGTTGCAGTCTGCACCTCTTTGTATACTGTGGAAGTTGACTCTGTATGGATCCCTGTGGAGGATCACTCATTTTAGAGTTAGAACATGGAAAGGTCTTAAAAAAGAGTGTCCACAATATCCTTGCATTCAGACTGTGCATTAACCCTGCCTGAATGTTTCTATGGGATAACTTTCTGCATATTTTGTAGCCAGGATAAATTTTTCACTTGCAGTCTATGAATTCTGCATATTTTACTGTAGGAAGAACTATAGGAAGAAAACCAAAAATTGAGCCTCTGCTCTGTGGACTTTTGTATAAGGCCAAGTCTCATAGAGTCTGCTGAAACACAGAACAAATTAAACCATGTTAAACGGTCACCATATAGTAGTTTAAAGGTTATTAAGAATTGAAGGTTGGTGAAATTTTTCACATGGGTTGTTACACTGAAGGGATGTTACAGTTTATAAGTGAATCATGAAGAAAGAATAGCTCATTTTCTTCTTTATGAAATCACAGAGAAGCATAAAAAATATCTGTTGTTCCCTTCAAGAGTTTATAACTATTTCCTGCTAATGTAGAACACCCTAGCTAGACTATACTATTATTGTTTTAAACAGAATTATTACAGTTCTGTGGGAAAATCTGGGTGCATGTTGGCTTTCTCTCCTTCAGAATGCATACAAACAGGAATATAACAGCTGGTTCAAGGGTATTGGATGGAGTCCTCTCGGTTCTCTGGATGTTGAAAAAGCTAAAAAGGCTGGAGATGCATTAAATGAAAAGAAATACCGTCAGCACCCAGACACCATCAAATTTACAAGCATACCGGATTCAATACCAATGGTTTTAGCTCAGCACAACACCAAGCAACTGAGTGATGTAAGGAATTTTTCATTATTAATGCAATATAGTAATTTTATTTTTTTACCATATTTATGATATATGTTACTGTCTGGTATTCCATCTAAAAAAAACCTTTAAATTTTAAAAACTGTAAAAATAGTAAAATTGTAATTTGTTGGAAAGAATTAAGCATTGTTGCATTGTCTCTGTTGGTTAACACTAATATTACCTACCTTGTACTTGTCAACAAGTATTTGTTTATTTTTCCTTGCAGGTAACATATAAGCAAGAGGGTGAAAAAGTGAAACACAAATACACCCTGGATCCTGACGTTCCTCAGTTTATTCAAGCCAGGGTCAACGCCTTCAATTTGAGTGATGTGAGCATCTAACCAATAGTTTGTTCAATAATATATTTATTTGTCATTTACTCAATAGAAAAAATAACTTTTATTTATTTGTTCTATGATACTGAATATAGAAATGCACAAGCTCTGAATTCAGCTAAACTTTTACTTCTAGAAGTCAATGAGTTTTGTGCTTGTTAAGCAAAGTTTTAAACTGAGCACTCATAAGCATAAATACATTTCAGTGCTTTATTGCCAAACTACTTGGATAGACTGAATGAAAAAACCAGCATGACTTATTATTCAAATTCCTATAGGTTTGGAGACCTAGGTCATCTACTTTTATATAAAACACATTGCATAGGCAAGCAGTACAGGTTCTCTGTATGTTGCTTCCTGCTGCTGGGCTTTCAAAGGAAATTAACTCACCCAGTGGAAAGATAGTAATGCCTTTTTCTGCCATTCAGCTACTAGTCTGCCTGCTTTCCATCACTTCTTGCATCCATCCAACACCATAAAGATCTCTACTGATAATATCAGTTTTACTGCCTTCATGATATTAAGTTTTCTGGTGGCATTATCAGGCCTCCGGGAACTAGGTAAAAGCTGACATCTTCTTTCAACCCATCCTGTAGAAAGCCTTGAAATACTATTAGTCTGTCCAGATGCTAACTGCTAACAAAAAATCAGCCAGACTGCTTTCTTCAGTCACTTAAGACCACAAGGCCTGATTTTGAAGCTAGCAGGAAAAAATTTCTGAAGGTTCAGTCAAATGAAAAAGGGGGTTGCTTAAGCAAGGGCAAAAATGCAACTGACAGAGTTGTTCTGCATAAAAATTGCAAAAAATGCTTATGGAGTTAATGATTTAGTTACATGAATGAAACTGATTGTCTTGAAGTATTCTCCTATCTTTATAGTAGATTTATTTATCATCATATAACTGTAGTTTGTGTACAGGTTAACATTTTTCCCTGAAATTGCACAGACTAAACTGAATATTTTGACTCCTATAACTATAACAAAAATATGGGCTTGAACAACTTTGTTTAAAATTGTTACTAGTAAGATTGCGAACTCATCCCTTTTTCTCCTATAAGGCTAACTACAAAGCAGACTGGAAAAAAACCATTGCCAAAGGATATGATCTGAAACCAGATGCTATTCCTATTATTGCTGCTAAAGCTTCTCGAAATATTGCAAGTGATGTAAGTATAATTTACATGAAGTGGAATACATACATCTACTGCGTTACAGCTTTCTGTAGCATATTATGCTATAGAGCATATGCTATATACATATAATGGTATAGATACACTTGACTGAGAATTGAAACTCTTATGATACTGTGAAATAACAAGTGAATTCAGATGTTTACATGAACCTCCAAAAAGGCCTGTTTCTTTGGAAATGCATCATAACGTGTGTGAGTGCTGGTGAGCTGGGGCTATTTGTTGACGTGCTTCAAGTATTCACCAACTTATTTGAAAGTTCCTTTGTCATGATTTAGCTATGCTGTATTCTTAATTGCTGGAGACCTGTACTTTGACTTCTCTAGCATTCATGAGCTGTACAGAAATGTGGCTGTTTTCAGGCAGCTATGTCAACTGGCAGCAGTAAAGCTTTGTGTGCCATCTGACACAAGCTATGAAAGGAGAACACAGAAATAAATTCGTTAACTTTAGCAAAGGGCTGCAAATGGCTTCCATTCCCCACTTAAACATGCCTCCCCCTAATAGCTGAATATTGGGATATCCAGTTGTTTGGTAGTCTTGAGTTTTTCAATAATACATTATTATGCTAGTCTTTTAATTAAAAGCTGAATGTTCCTGGGAGTTAGAAGTCTATGGCAGTAAAATATAATATGGCAGAGGCAATGGTGAGGGAGGGCATGTAACTGCGTGTCTAGATTTAGATCTATACCAGGGGTCAAGACAAGCCAAGAAATCCAGCAATCCTTTTTTTAACCTAAATAATCCTGTGCTGTCTGAAAAACAATTTATGAGTTTATAGAATGAACTGCAGTTGTTAAAATATTGAGTTTCAAAGTATTAAAGTTATCAAAAGTATGTTTTCTCTTTCCAAAGTGGGTAAGGCTTTCTTTTCCTTTGTCTCTAGTACAAGTACAAGGAATCATATGAGAAAGATAAAGGCAAACAGGTTGGATACCGTAGCCTGCAGGATGATCCTAAACTTGTTCATTACATGAATGTGGCCAAAATGCAATCAGACCGTGAATACAAGAAAGACTACGAAGTCACCAAGACCAAATATCATACTCCTTTGGATATGTTCAGCGTGACAGCTGCCAAGAAAGCCCAGGAAGCAGTTACAAACACTGGCTATAAACAGCCAATTCACAGTTATACACTCTTGCCTGATTCTGTGAGTCTGGAGCTATCAAGAAATGTGATGCAGCTTCAGAGTGATGTATGTAATGATTAATCACTTCATTTTTTTCTTCTCATAATGACTGTGTTACACTGTTAACCTTTTAAGGCTAAAAAATGAACTATATTGGATTAACAGTAGATTGAGATGTAAATGTCTGGTCTGGAATGCTGTGTTTTCCAAAGATTGTCAGAATTATGTGTAGTTGCTAAGTTCTAGGGAACTTACCTAGCAAGTAACAACTTTCTTTGTATCTCTACATATTTGGCTAATTCTCAGCAAATGAACATGTTTTTCTAATTTGTGTATTTTTGTAGTTGGATTTGTAATTACAATGTGTTATTACTGTGATTATTTGCATTGTCAGAGATCGTAGCTTATGTACAGAGTCTAAATTCTGACTATATTTTATTTAAGTTTACTGAAAATATGCATTATGTATGTTTGTATTATACCTAGGGATTTGAGATGTATTTATTTTGTTTACTTTTCCTTTCTGCCTTTATCCTCCAAGAGGTGCATATGCCATGCATGATAAGGATTCATAAAAAAGCTTTGTAGTTTCTATTAAGTTTTGTGACTTGTTTCCATTTTTTTTCACTAGTGTAACGTTAGGGTCTACTTGTTTATCCAGAAAGTATTTAGTTTAATCTGCATTATTTAACGGTCCTCTGACAAATTTGAAATTCCCCAAAACATTAATAATCTGATTGAAAGTGTTCTTCAGATTCTAAGCATTGTTTGGAGAGGATAATGTACATGTTCCCGTTGCCCCACAGATAGAGGATCTGACCTTTAGACACTGTTCTTTTCAAATACAGAAATTTGCATCTCAGGTTTTTTGCTTCCCCATTGTATTTTTACCTAGCCTTGCTGAGTTGGCTGAGTTTGCTTGGCTGTCTAACTCAGGATGTTTGCTAGGAGAGAAGCGTGATACTTGAGGACAAATTTTGCCCTGAATACACATGCTATGAACGTATGTGGTCTTTTTCTCAGACTCTGATATTCTCCCTGTTACTTTTAACACTGCAGTTCAGGAACAGGTTTTATTTTCACAGCATTTTTGTACCTTTATCTGTTCTAAAAGCCATGTTATGAAGTATGATTAAATAAGAATGGTGTCTATTCAAGATTGTGCAGAACAGGCCATTAAGCAGAAGTTGTTGAAACAATTTGGCTGAATTAATTCTACTGCAAACTGAGTCTACTAACAAAGAAGACCATCATTTAAAAAAAGTCATTCTATTCTTGTCAGATTTTCATATTTACCACTCAAAATTTCTTCTAAGGTCTGTGCATTTGGTTTGTAGTATGAGTTCTACGCATTGGTTTAATGAAAAGCATTTCTTTATCCCTAACACATCAATAGTTGTTAATGTTGTGCTAAGAATTTGGAAAACAATAGCAGTTCTAACAGGCTTGTCTAAATTTTCCTTCAAAAATGAATGACCAGGAGAAGTTTTAAGGCCTTACCTGTTTTTAAGTATATGGGCATTCTAATTTTCCTTGTCTCTCTGTGTTTTTCCTTGTTTGTTTTTTTTAAAGAACGTGTACAAAGCAGACTTTAATAACTGGTTGAGAGGAGTTGGCTGGATACCAATTCAGTCACTGGATGTAGAAAAGGCAAAAAAAGCTACAGAGATTCTCAGTGAAAAGAATTATCGCCAGCACCCAGACAAGCTGAAGTATTCTATTACAATGGATGCAATGGAACAAGTGCTAGCTAAGCAAAATGCCAAGACCATGAATAAGGTGAGAATTTGTTCAGATGGTCATGACTGAGCCAGAGATTGGGTCTTTGTCTTGCAAAACTGTGGGGCAGGTCCATTCCCGCTGAAGTCACTAGAATTTCAAATGGGTATAGCGGTTTGCTTGGTTAAGACTGGACACTAAGAGATGATGGAAGCCTCTGACTGTATTCATAATTAAGGGAGTTTCATTTTCTGTTTATAAAGATTAAAGATTTCTCTTTTGTGTATGTGATTAAAGATGTCCTCTACAGATTTGTAGTGCTTTGGTAACCTTTGCTCTTTTTCTGCAGGAAGTAGTATTCATAATCAGTGAGCTGAAAAAACCCTGAAATTCTGTCAGTTTTGTACAAGTTTCCTTGAAAAGTGGAGTTCTTTTAAAATTTGTCCCTAATTATCTGGGACACCACTGATCCTTATTGCATGTTTGCTATGGAAAGAGGGTGTGTGGGGAAAAAAAAATATTTTATGCTTTGCATTAAAGCAGGGAAGAATGCAGACTGAAAATTTTCAGTTAAATATTACATTTATATATATATAAATGTAAAATATTATTTATTACAAATGACCAAAACAAAACCAAGCTCTTATTTTATGAGTGCAATGCCTTTTCAATGCTAAATATTACTTTGTAATTGCAGAGGCTCTACACGGATAAATGGAACAAAGAGAAGACTAGCATTCACGTTATGCCAGATACTCCAGAAATTCTGCAGTCTAGAGTGAACCAGATCACAATGAGTAATGTGAGTTACCATGCTCACAGTGAGCATTCAATGTCTGTTGCAGAGATCAAAAAATTGGTGTAATTTTAATGTCTTTTTTGAAAATATTTAAATTCAGTAGTTCTGCCTTCATAATACAGTACCTGTTCTCTTTTACATTTTCAATTAGAAACTATACAAAGCTGGATGGGAGGAAGACAAGAAGAAAGGTTATGACATGCAGCCAGATGCTATTCCAATAAAAGCAGCCAAAGCCTCCAGAGACATTGCAAGTGATGTAAGTTTGATTGCGTGATAGTACTCAGAGTAGCTACAAAGACAATGAGAATGTTTTCAAAGTGCTCTGTTATGCACAAATGTGTTTTTTCAAGCATCTTGAGTTATCCAGTTTTCAATTATATGCTTGGTGGGATAAACCTTTGCAGTACTTGCTCTCCAGTGGAATAACACTGAATTGTGCTTTTTAGCTCTTTGTTCAGCAAGCTGCTGAGCTTCATGTGCCTGTGTTCAATGGGCTATTTTGTAAGACTGAGTATGTTTAAATGACTAAACCTGAGATCTCGTGATGAAAAAGCAAAAATATTTGCTATGTTTTTAGAGATAAAATTGAGCTTAATAATGCAGGTTTTTTTAATTTAAGTTTTTGCTGTTCTTTCTGTTTCCTGATGTCAGTATAAATACAAACTAGCCTACGAAAAAGAGAAAGGAAAGCATATTGGGTTCCGCAGCCTCGAAGACGACCCCAAGCTGGTGCACTTCATGCAGGTGGCTAAAATGCAATCTGACCGTGAATACAAAAAAGATTATGAGAAGTCAAAGACTAATTTCCATACGCCAGTTGACATGGTCAGTGTTGTGGCAGCCAAGAAAGCACAGGAAGTGGCTACAAATGCAAACTACAAAAGCTTGATCCATACCTACAATGTTTTGCCTGATGCTATGAGTCTTGAATTGGCCAAAACCATGATGCAGATCCAAAGTGATGTAAGTGAGAGATTCTTCAACCTTTGCATTAGGAACACAATGATGCTTAGTTTATGAAAGCATACTGTAAGATAAATAATACTATTTTCTTAGTGAAATTAGTTCAGTTATATACTAAAATGTAGTAAATGAAATGAGACCTTCAGCAACGATGGCCATTGTATTTTTCTAAGACTCTGAAATATTAAATTACACCTATTGCTAAAGAATTTGGGCTCAGTAATAAGTAATTTTATGTATAAAGTAAAATGGATATTTACTGCTTACATGTCCCATCTGGCTCTTCAGGAGCAATACTTGTGTGCAGGCCAAGACAGGAAAAGTTTCACTTTTCATTAATAGCTTTATCTTGTACTTCCAAAAAGATATCTTTGCAGAAGAAGGGGAAACCAGCTAAGTAGCTGGTTTAACTGGGATGTTTAACCTCTAGAGAAGAGGGCCTTTTTTTCTCAGTATAGTGGTTCAAGATAATCCTCTTCTTCAAGAGGGCCTTAGCATGTAATCTCATGCGAGCAGTCTATATACATCATAAGGAGGATCTGAACGCTGTATAAAAGGCAAAGTAATAAAATAGACACCACTGTAACAAATGCATTTCTAAATAAAGCTTGAATGCATCTTGATACTGTTTGCCTCTTTTTAGAGTAAGTGCATTCAAAATCTAATATTCGTTAAACGCAGAAAGAAGTGTCATGATTTACAGGCTTTTTCATGCATCTGATTATTTTCTTTTCTTTCTGCTTCCAGAATCAATACAGAGCAGAATATGATGAAAGTATGAAGGGTGTTGGATGGATGCCACTGGGCTCCCTGGAAGCTGAGAAGAACAAAAAAGCGATGGAAATCGTTAGTGAAAAGAAGTATCGCCAGCATCCAGACAAGTTGAAGTATTCTGTTCCTATGGATTCCATGAACATGGTCTTAGCTTTAAATAATGCTAAAATGATGGATGAGGTAAGAAAGTGTTCATCAAAATTAATTTTAAGTTTGCAGAAGTAAGAAACAAAATATACCTGATGTAATAGTCAATCTTATTGTATGCATAGCTTTGCAAATCATCAATTCTGGCAGCTAATGAGTATGCTTGACTGTAATTGTATTTCATCTTAATGAATCTTTAATATACCTGAAAGCAAAGCATGACCCTAATATTTCTAAGAAATACGTATAAAGACAGACCCGGGGGGTCACATTTTATTAATAAAATTTACCCAAGATAACTAATTATAGACTTCTAGCTGTTTAAATCTAGGGGCTAAAAATACTGGAGTGATCTCTTTCCGAAACAGGATTTAGACTTTTAAATGTATGGTCTGTTTCATCTGATGCCTGTTACATTAATATGAAATTGCTGCATGATGTGAATGCTTTTATGAGATCTTTATTTTCTGA